TCCCCCACACCCAGATAACTTACAAGATGGGAGTTATCATTATTCCCACTTTACAAACTAAAAAACTGAGGCTTTATCTGGCTCACTAACTAGCCCATGGTTATTTAGCTGGTAAGTAGGTAGAGCTGGGATACGAACCCAGGCAGACTGACTCCAGAGCCTGTTAAACTAGCAGTTGTCCATAAATAGCCATAACACAATGTTGAAAGTGGTGCACATTCTGAGAGACGGCCGATAAAATGCCACAGCAGTTGAAGGCAGAGGTAACTTTTGACTAGACAGACAACCAAGGGAGACCCCATGGAGCCGGGATGGAGGAAATTTTGAAACAGGGAGAAGAGAGGAAGGAAATTCTATGCAGAAGGAACAGCATGAGCAAAGGCACAGAGATGTGAAGCACAGGGCAGCTTTTAGGAAATGGCAGGTGCATCCAGTATGGTGCCAACTACACATTAACGGGTGAAGCAGGAGAAAAGGTGAAAAGGCAAGAGAGGGTCCACTCTCAGAACGCCACTGGAAGAGGACATTTGTATGATGCTTTAGAGCACACAAGATTCCATGAGGCAGCCAGTATCTTCATTTAATAAAAGAGAAAACTGAGGATCAGAGTGACAAGTTACCGGCCCACGGTCATGCAGCCAGCAAGTTCTAGATCTCGTGAATTTATTAAAAATATATTCCGTAGCCCAGGTACTGTGCCAGGTACTAAAGACAACCGTGAACCAGACACAGCCATTGCCTTCACAGCACCGCCATCCAGGTAGGAAAGACCACCAACTTAATCAGGTCATCACAGTCAGCCACGGTGTGTGCTCCAGCGTCAGAAGTGCAAGGTGCGCTGAGCCTCACAGCCCAAGGACCCAGCTGGACGCGGGGCAGGCCTCAAGAACAAAGTGTCATGTAAGCCTAGACCTGAGAGATGCACAGGAGTTGACTTGACCCTGGGGGTGCCTGGGGGAGAGCATTTGGTGGTGAGGAATATTCCAAGCAGAGTGTAAAGGCCCAGAGTGGGGAGAAAATGTGGCATCTTCCAGACAGCAAGGAGTTTAAAGGAGAGAGTCAAGAAAGCAGAGGCTGGGGTGGTTGGTAGACACCAGATTCTGAGGACAGGGGTGCAGCCACGGAGGGGGTTTTAAGCAAGAGGTGAGAAGGTAGGAGGGGTGACATGGTTAGACTTAGGCATCAAAAGGACGGTAAAGCTGTAAAAGACAGCGAGGATTAGATAGAAAAGGATGTGGGCCTGTCTGAAGGCATTTGGAACTCCAACCCAACACTATTTGACTCGAAGACCACTGCCTCCTGTTTCTTGGGAGGCAACAGGGCATCCATGAAGCTTTGAAGGAGGTGAGTGACATCGACAGATCTATCAGCCTGGAGCTGTGTGGAGGAGGCAGCAATGACTCATTCATTCTTTTGGGGGTTTTTTCTTTTTTTTTGCAGGGAAAGTTTCTCCCTGAGCTAACATCTGTTGCCAATCTACCTCCCTTTTTTTTTCCTTCTCCCCAAAGCCCCAGTGCATGGAGGTATATCATAGTGTAAGTCCTTCTAGTTCTTCTATGTGACCCACAGCCACAGCCACAGCACGGCAGCTGACAGACAGTGATGTGGTTCTGCCACCGGGAACTGAACCCAGGCCACTGAAGCACAGCATGCCAAACTTTAACCACTAGGCCATCAGGGCTGGCTCTATTTTTTGTTTTTTTCATTTTATAAATATTTGTCACTGCCTGTCACATGCTAGGCACTGTGCAGTAGTTTTAGGTATGGAAATAGCAAGGAGGTATGTCATTAGCAGAGCTGCAAACACTTTTCTAAAGTCCGTTGTCTAATATTCCTTTCAGACCCATTTGAAAGCCCTCATTCAAAAAGCTTTCCCATCTCTGCCCTTCTAATGCTACTTAAAACCTTCATTAGCAGGGGCCGGGGCGGCCCCGTGACCAATTGGTTAAGTTCACGTGCTCCACTTCATTGGCCCAGGGTTTCACCGGTTTGGATCCTGGGTGTGGACAAGGCACCGCTCATCAGGCCATGCTGAGGCGGCATCCCACATGCCACAACTAGAAGGACCCACAATTAAAATATACAACTATGTACTGGGGAGCTTTGGGGAGAAGAAGAAGAAGAAAATTAAAAAGATTGGCAATGGATGTTAGCTCAGGCACCAATCTTTAAAACAAAAACAAAAACCTTCATTAGCATAGCCACTTAGTCCGTCCCCACTGTCGCCAGCCCCACCGCTGCTACTTCAATCTTCCACTGAGCACCGCATGCCCGTCTCATCTCCAGCGTCCTCGAGACTCGCACCCGCATTGTTTTTACGTTCTGGGTGGCCTAAAGCAGGGCTGGACCCAGAGCAGCGCTCGGCTAAGAGGGCTGAGTGGCTGGACGGATGAAGGCGTGGACAGGATTGCACGAGCACCACCTTCAGAAGGCTCACTGCTCCATTACTTTTCATCCCAGGTTCCATTCTCCTCGTCATTCCCCGGAGACCGTATTACAGACACGTTTTAACTTACAAAATTTTTAAAAATCAGCCCTGTATCCACCATAATGCCATCCCCAGTCATTACAAATCTTGATTCTTATAAGGTGCATGGAAGGCCGGAGGGCTTGGATTATAAACACCATGGTGTCAGTGTTGTAAGAGTGCAAGGTAATTCAAGAGACAAACAGATTTGTATCCCCAACATTTAAAAGCACCTACTGTGTGTGGAACATGCTCTGCATCTGCTGATGACCACCTATTTCCTACAGGGAAAAGGGAACACGCATTAAACCCTTCTTATGTGCCAGTAAATGTATGAGGAGTAGTATTCGCACTATTTCACTTTTAAGCTTCATGGTAAAACAGTAGGATACAAGCAGGATTTCTTCCACTGCTCAGATCTTTAGTTGACCACTGGATACAACCTGATTGAGTGAGTGAGGACCATGTTTCGCATCCTGTGGACTTCAGTTGGTCATCATGCAACTGTAACAGTGAGTGAGCTCCTGCCCTTTAAAGAGCTGGTGTCCCCGGAGGAGAGCAACATGCAGCAGCCTCGAGCAGCTGGCTTAACGTCCTTGGCCTTGTGTTCTCTTGTTAACCGTCTGTAGCGATGAGCTTTGCTGCTGTTTATTTTACAGGTCCAGAAACATGCTTCTTTTGATCTGGTTTTATACTGTGTTCATAATTTGGTGACTTTGAGGTTCCATTTCAATCCCTCAGTTTATGATTTTTAGCTTGCAATAACAAAATATCCTTGTATTAGTTTCCTAGGGTTGCCATAATAAATTATCACAAATTTGGTGGCTTAAAACAACCAAAATCAATTTTCTCATAATTCTGGAGACCAGAAGTCCAAAATTAAGGCATTGGCAGGATTGATTCTTCCTGGAGGCCCCGAGGGAGAACCCACTGCCTGCCTCTCTCCCAGCTTCTGCAGGCTGTCGGGAATCCTTGGCGTTCCTTGGCTTGTAGACGTGTCACTCCAGTCTCTGTCTCTCTCTTCCTGCGCCCTTCTCGTCTGTGTCTGTGTGTATTTCCTCTTCTGTCTCCTATGGAAACACGTATCATTGGATTTAGGGCCCACCCGGTTCATCCAGGATGGTCTTATCTCCGGATCCTTACCTCAATTACGTCTGCAAAAAGCCTTTTTCCAAATAAGGTTCTCAGGGGGGCATATCTTTTGGGGCAGGTGGAGAGTAGACACTATTCCATTTGCTACAATGCTTAAAGCTATTCTGTTTTAACACAAACTTTAATATTGAAAATTCCACAAGAAAAAATAATTATTATTACAAGTCTGAAATTCTGGAGCTCCTCACTCCTTTTTTTCCTCCACTGAAATAATTGTTTTGTAATGAAACTTTTGTTATAAATGAACAAAGAATGCATATAAATGAATAAGTAACCCAAGCTTTCACAGGATTGTAACTAGTGGTATAAATGAGTCAAGATCTGTAAAGCACTCAGAAGTACACCTGACTCATAGAATGCATTATAAGATTTAGATAAATAACAAAATTAGCGGTGTGCTATAGAAGAGCAGGCTGTATTGGTGTCCCAGTTTACAGAGAGGGTAACAGGCAGCTTAGGGGACTCAGGTACCAGCCCAAATACTGAGAGGCCAGGACTCAAACTCGTGTCTGACTCCAAACCCACGTTCTTCCTCTGCACCGGGGCGTCCTCGGGGGCTGGGGGGAAGCAGCTGAAGGGCAGCATGGCTCTGCTCACAATGGCCCTGGACCTTCGTCAGGTTGGTCCACCAGAGAAGGAAAGTTCACCAGAGGAAGTCCTGAGGCGAAGTCAGATGTCAGTTACCGTGAGACCGGTCTGAAATTCGCTGAGATGTAGGAGACATGAAAGTCTGAGAGAAGACAGCAAGCAGTTCGGGGGCTGGTGGAATGAAAAAGGGAGGAGATGAAAACAGAGAGTCTGGCGAGGCACCGGGCAGGGGACCGCTCACGCCACCCCGGAGCCGAGGCCGTTGCGGGCCGGGCCTCCCTGCAGGGAGTCCTTGATACCACGTTCTTCATAAAGGCCGAGTGAAGGGACACTGACGGCGTCTGAGGTGCAGAAGAGGGGCTGTGTCTCATACCCCACAGCACAGCACCAGGAATGAAAGGAGGAGCAAAGGATCCCACCGCCTGGGTTTCAGAGAGAAATGCAAGCCCAGCACCTGAGACACGCAGCATCGAGGCAAAGCAAGGGCACCGCTACTCGTTTACAGAGACGTGCCCTCTCCTACTTGTCTAAGTTTTCCAGATTTTCTAGGCACTACATACTCTCATTTTATCGTAGAAACACAAACAATAACTATTTTAATGGGACTCTATCAAAAAATGAACATTCTTTGTAGACCACACACTCTGATGGGAACCCACACTGTATCAGCTGAGAACTAAAAGAGGTCAAAGAGATAAGGGGGAAAACATACAGAAACATCAAGATAAATAATAATAGGAATAAGGAGTCCATGGCATTTGAGTAAGGTGACTATATCTGTTACGTTCAGAACTTTCATTAGGAGACGGAGAGTACTAAATGGAATGACGAGGCAGAGGAGCGGCTAAATGAACACTTTGAATCAGTATTTATTGGAGAAGACAATGGGGAAATTCCTGTTCCAAGGACACATTTTATGGCAAAGCCGAGAACGGCCTTGACAGAGATTCTTCGGTCTCTGAGGAGAGAGGTATGGAGCAACTTGAGGGACTCTGTGCAGTAAATCATTGGGACCAGATGGTATTCATCCATGGGTTCTGAATGAGATAAAGTGGGAAATCATGAGTTCAGTGACAAGGATATATAATAGAGGCGTAAAAACAGCCAATATCCCTGAAGATCGTGAAGTCATTAATATGGTGTCACGTATGTGTGGGGTGTGTGCGTGTGTGTGTGTGTGTGCTCCTTGCATGTTCTGGGACCTTTGGGTGGGATGAAGGAGATTTTCTTTTTTTAAGTACCAAGAAAGATTCCTTGATAAAACAAAGAATAGAAGAGTTTTAGGTGGTGAAAAGAGCATCAAAAGATAAGAGACAGAATTTCAGAGATGTTTAATAACATTGAAGCAGTGATTTTCCGGGTTCTCTGGGAGATGCTGGGGCTATGCGCCTTCTGTCTAACTGGAAGGCTCACAGCCTCGTGACTTTGCTTATTCTCGTGGTCCTGCTGCTGGCTTCGGATGGGACTGGTGATGTGTAGGGTCTTCAAACACTGCCAGGGGTGACAAGAAACATCTGGTAACTTTTTCTCCCTTGAAAAATCATAACATTTCAAGTTGTTTGGCAAAATTTGGGGGGCTGAAAAGCAGGGATAGACTTTCACCTCCATCTCACAGGAGCAAATTTCTAGACCCTAAGAATTCTCTGGTAATGATAATGGCTAAAATTTGTTGAGTGCTTACTATGCATCAGGATCTTGCCCAGGTTTTACCTCTATCATCCATTTAATTCTCATAACAGTTAATAAGTGGTAGACCAGAATTTTAATCTTTGTAGTCCAATTCCAAGTTCATGCTTTTAGCCATTCCTCTATACTGTTCTCTATATGCATGTTTTATTTATAAAAGGGAATCAAAAGTTTTACAAAACAACCCTTGCCCTTGTTACGTGTAATCCTCTTCTGTTTCATTAAAAGAAGGATGGTCTCAAATCCTCAGATTGATTTCACAGCCACCAATGGGGCACAGCCTACAGTTTGTTTAGAGAAATAGGAGTAAATAAGTCAACGGCCATGTTCTCTTTGACTTAGAAGAATTCTAATGCTAACTGAAAGCTCTGGTATAAAATCTCAGTACACTGATAAAGGTGATCAGACCGCCTGTAAACTGGCTTGGACCATTTCACGATGCTTTTAACACGGGGACAGGCACACATCTCCCATCACTCTTGTGTTTCTCCCTAAGTACGATGCTGAGTCACGTCCTCTAGCTGCTTTCCCGGGAGAGCCCCAACAGTTAAAAAGTTATTACTTATGTTGATCAGAAATCTGACCACGGAAACAGTAGCCACTGATTCTAGTTCTACCTCTCGGAGACACACCGGATAGCCGAGCAATTCCCCTACCCAGCATCCTTCAAACATTTGGAATGCATTCATGTTCCTCCTGGATGTTTTCCTCTTTGGAATAAACGTTTCTAGATCTTTCAACCATGTACGAATACAGACAGGAAACTCAACCCAAGAGGCCAAGCAGGAGGCGGCTTCCTCAGCTTACACAGTAGAAGAGGCCAAGGATTGTTCTAGCTCTGGCATGGCTTGATCTGGGGCTGAGGTAATGTCGCCAGGTAGACCTATTCCTCTTAGCATCGCCTTTCTCCATGTTGGCTCCAGGCCCCCTTGTAACACAGCTGAAGCAGCCACAGACCTCATACCTTCTCATGAATAAAGTCCAGCAAATAAAGTGAGTTTCTTTCCCAGAAGTTTCAGCAAAACTTCTCTTCTATCTTATTGGCTCTGATTGGGCCATGTGCTCAATCTTCCGGCTATTACCATGGCCAGTGGCCCTGAACGCTTTGATTAGCCACGCTTAAGCCACATGCCTGCCATGGAGACATATGGACTGAGAGAGTAGAGGGGTGGTCTTCAATGGGGAGATTTTGGGGGTGGGGTATGGGTTAAATAGAGGCTGGCTGATAAAAAGACAATAGCTGTCCATTAGAAACGGTTGCTCACGTTTCACAGTTTCGACCCACTTCAACCAAGCAGCCTACCAAGGACCAAAATAAAACCGATCCCTCAGCCTTGGGACTTCTCCCGTGCTGCAGGGAGACGGGGTGGACTGGGCTAGATGCCACAGTTCTGTCTACCCACACACCAAGGGGATGCCCCAGTAGGAATCCCACGTATTGCTCAACTGTCACCGCCTCTGTGTCGCTGTGTCCTTCGGGCAGAGCCACTCACTCCCTTCACAGAGCTCCTACTGGCACTTCTGCTCCACTGCAATGACTCATGTTGCCATCTTATGTTCCTCCCGACTATGAGTTCCTTGAAGACACGGATGTTTCAATACACTTCTGCATCCCTCGCACCCAGAACAACGCCTGACGAAGGAGGCAAATGAGGCCTGCTGCTGGAAGGAACCATCCTGAGATCACAGAAGAGGACGCCCCACAGCAACCATGTGAGATCAACCTGGGCCTTCCCCAGTCTGTGTGGGTGTCAGGGTCCACACCCATAAAAATCACTGAAAACAACGTACCAGATTCCCTGACACCCGGGGCCCGGGTGGTGACAAAGAAAAGCTGAGCATGAGGCATAGGTGGTCCAGGAAGGTGGGGAACTATCAGACAGACAGACTAGGTACTGTGGACGGTGATTACGGACTGAGACAGCTACATCACAAACAGGTCAGAAACGTTAGAGACTGCAGTCCCAGAGCTCAGTGGCTTACCGAGTTGGTAGGAATGGAGTTAAGGACTCATCCTGTTGGCTCTGCTGCTTTCTAAACTGCCAGGGGTGCCGGGAAAGAGGAGAAGGGAGGGATGAGACTGGAGAAAACTGGCCTTGACCATGGCCAGTACCAGACCTGATTTCCCACCCTTGGTTGAGGTGGGAAGAAGAGACTCATCGATAGGTATCTACCTAGCACCCCACACGAGGTACTAGGACCATGATGACGAGCGACACCAACACAGCCCCCGTCGCTGGCCTCACATGCTGTGGCCAGGGCTTCGAGGATTACTTTACCCTGCCTCGCATGTGTGAGACTGGGGCAACACTTACAAAATGCCTCACGCTCCTCAGATAAAAGAAGTTACATAAATGAAGACACTCAACTGAGAAAGTTGCTGTGTTTATTAATCTTTTAAAGCACCGATGTTAATAGCAGGATGCTGTGATGTCAATGTTAATCCCTTGCCTCAAATAGGGAGTCAAGCCAGAGAAGTACGAGGGAAAACAGAAGCTAACCCTCAACCAAGACCCGGCCCACAGCAACGTTACTACTGGTTACAATGTTACAACAACGTTACAACAACAGCTACTGTACAAGTTACTACATGCCCACTGGCCCCAGCCTCCTACAGGAGGCAAATCAGAACCGTGCCCCTTGCTGTGCGTCCTCTGACCCCTCACAGGCAGTGAGCAGGTTGCAGGCACCAGAGGTAGCAAAGAATGGTGATGATGTTTCTTTCTGCCTCTTAAAGACAATCGTTATTCCTGGAATGACAATTTGTAAGCTCACCCTAATTACGACCAAATTGATTAAGAGATGCATAATCTAAGGATTAACATTCAGGCAAATACTGCTTAACTTAGCCACCAAGGACTCAGGAGGAAACAGCTGTGTTGTTCAGGAAGCTGTCTGGAATAAAAGAGCGATTTTTGCCGGTAAAGTCCAGGCTTAGCAAATTATTTAGTGTCATCTTTCTTATTTGAACTCCCAAACTGGAAACTTCCTGGGATCAAATATTCTGAAGACACAGCTCCGGTGTCTAGGGAAGGGCACCCGCATTGCAGACTTCAGAGGCAGTCTTGGGCCCCAGCCCTGCCTGGATCTCAGCCTCGGAGATCCCATCAGCAAAATAGGGATCATAATCCAGACCTCACAGGGCTGTCATGAGGAAGCAACAGCAACATACATAATGTTCGCAGCTCAGTGCCTCGAATTAAGGGCTTTTCCATCAATGTTTGCTCCTTTCCCGCCTCCCCTTCTTTACTAGTACTTTCTACAAACTTTTTAAAGCTGTGTTTTTCTAGCTACTAAACTGTTCAAGGTAAGTAAATGAATGAAGTATTCATTCTTTTTAGGAAAGGAAATTTTTTTCTTTTGTTACGTTCCATGACATAAGTACCTTTACCAAAAGCCTAAGAATGATGCTGAGAAAAACCAAAAGCAAGGCGAATACTTGTGGGGGTTCCCCATGTAAGTTAAAAAGTCATTCTTCCACAGAAAGTCAATGAGGGAGCAAGGAGGAAGATGGGGAAACAAAAATTTGGGGTATCTACTACATAATAGACACTTTGTCAGCCTGTTAGATACATTGTCTCATTTAATAAACACAGAAAAGTCTTGGTACTTCTACAGACATCAAATCTCAGCTCTGCTCCTTACTAGCTGTGTGACCTTGGCAAGTTACTTGAGCTTTCTGTGCCTCAGTTTCGACATTTGTAAAAGGAGGAAAATAATAGCACTTACCTCATAGAGTTGTTAGAATTAGATAAGTTAATACATGTAAAACTCTTGGCACAGTGCCTGGAACATGTTAAGTATCCAATAAATGTTAGTTCTTGGCAACAATCATAGTGAGAATGAGAGTTGCAATAACAATACTTAAAAGTCCTTAACATCAAGGGTGACACATAGTAGATGCCAAATAAATGCTATTACTTAGATAATGAAAGTAAAACATCGCTTTAAAAAGTATTCTCCTTCACCAAGTTTATTGTGTATGGAAGCTGCCTCTCTGTCGGCAGAAACAGGTGAACATCCGCTCTGGCTTTATTTTATAGATGACCGAATCAGAAGACAACGGATTTCCTGCTCCGTTTACATCAATCTCTTCTGGAGCCCATGGCGAGTTGGACAAATGCTCTGACATCAGGCCACAGGCAGAACCCCCAGGTAGCAATTCCCCGGTGCCCTACAACACCAGGTGCACGCCTCCCTGCCCCCCGCGGGCTGGGATGGGGGTCTCCTCTGTGTTCCTCAGAGCTCCATCCTCTCTGGGCCTCTCCTGTCTTTACCTCCCGCTCCTCTGTGTGCACGCTGAGATTCCCAGAACACACCGCCGCTCACGTGCCCTCCCCAGGCCTCGTCTCAGCTTCACTAACTGCTTCGGCTTCTCTGTAGCCGAGCTGATCGGTCTGAGCCCACAGGAGATGTTCAAAATGTGTTTGCTGACTGCAGGAAGGACTTCGAACCGCAGAAGAGTCTGTGCGCCGCAGAAATCACGTGCTGCCCAGACTTGGGCTCGCTGCAGAGCTTCCCTCTTGGGTCGTGTCCGCGCGTAGCTTCAATCAGAGAAGAAGGTGCGTCTCCCACTTTTCACTGTGTGACAGCGGAACAGTTCAGGTTACCACGTAAACACTCGCAAAAGCAGCCCAGCTCAGGCACGGACAAAGAGGAAGGAATAGAACATCTAGATGCTTCGAACAACATGGAACACGGAGGCTTGATCCAAAATGGACTTTTCCAAACTATTTTACAAGCAACCCATGCAGCAATCGAAGTGCTCACACAGCCAGTGCTGTGGGGAACGCAAGAAATGTTAGATCTGTTCTTCGCCCTCAGAGGGCTTATGTGCAGTTGTGGAAGGAGGCACAGAGGCGTTCAGAGTATTTCAGCGAGAAACTGGTGACACCGAGAAAGCGCCACTGTAATCCTGAGAAACGAATTCGTCTGAGCCAGAATGCAAAAAGCTTGTAATAAAAAGTGTGAGTTCTCAAAGTACAAAAATACCATAAAATTCACTTTAGCCAGGTTACTAACTTTTCCCCAAATTTATAATTTTATACATATTTCATGCAGGGTGTAGAATAACCTAGCTATGTTATACTATATCCTATATTCTTATGAATACTGTTAGAAAATATGTACTCACACGAACTACAAAGCTGTAACTCAACATTTCAACACCTAAGGCTTTAAAAAAATTATAGAATTTTAGAGCTGATGCTAATCGTTTCTGACCTCAAATAGAGCCAAACTCTTCTATTTCCTTTTCCAGAAAGTTAAGGAACACCTAAAACTCAAAAATATGATTAACCCAGTCTGTGGATTATCCAGCGTGCTTGCTTCCTAACGGAGAGCTGCCTGGCTTCTCGCCTTTGCACGGGAGGCACTTGGAAGTGATCTCGGCAGAGTTCTTGGCATGAGGTAAGCGCTCAGTAGCTATTACTGCTGCTGCTAGTACTGTTACTCTCGTTACTATTACTACTGTGACTGCTGCTGCTGTTAGTACTGTGACTATTATTACTGCTGCCACCATTTGCTCATTGTTCCCTAGCACCCCTACCTCGCAGGGGACTGGCAACATGAATACATGGACGTGAAACCAAACACACCTGAATATGTGAACTTGGATGGAAAAACCTTACATCTTTACTTTCACTAACCTCTACCCCAAATTTACCATTTCCTCCCATTATAAATGTAGACAACAAGCCATAGTACCTGTGACTGTCATGAGTAGAAATCACAGATACTTTCCTGTCACTTTACAGTTGTTGCAGAAACATCATTTCTGCTCATCAGCACTTCTCACCACTGCAGCTCACTGTTTAATGCATTAATAAGGAAGCATATTACTACTACATCACAAATCTGGAATTTTTACTACTTTGATAGTTGCATATATAACATATAATTGACTTTCTTTGCAATCTTATGTATTTTGTTTGATTCATCTAAAAACATGATGCTGAGAAAGATTCAGTAGGCTTCAGCAGACTGCCAAAGGGTCCATGGCACAAAAAAGGCTCGGAACTCCTCCCACGGTTCACTCACAAACCTTCGCCCCAGCCACCCTCTCTGCCCAGAACTCCCTCCCTCCTTTTCCTATTGACTCAGATCTGCCCTCTTTGTGAAACCTTCCTCTCCCTCCCGCCACTCAAAACAAAGTGTTTACTGCACACACTTCCTGAGTTTGTCCCTCTCTTTCACTAGCTATATGATCTTGGGCAAGCTATTGAACTTCTCAAACTCACCTTCCTTACTTGTGAAATGGAAATGCTAGTAGCATATGGAATACTAAGAAGGGTGGCGAAGACTAAGCAAGATTATGCAGATTAGATGCTTTGCGGAATGTCTAGAATGACATGCCATTCCTAAACTTTTTGGTTTCAGGACTTTTTTATTTTCTTAAAAATTTCTGAGAACCCCAAAGAGCTTCTGTTTACGTGAGTTGTAGCTACAGATATTTATGATACTCAAAGTTAAAGCTGAGAACTTTTTAATGGTTCTTCATTAATTCATTTAAAAATAACAGTAATAAACTTTGTTACATGTTACATAAATTACATGTTAACATAAATAATACATTTTTATTGGAAAAAAGTATATTTTCCCAAAAGCCTGGTGAGAAGAGTGACACTGTTTTCCATCTACGTACACCTCTTCAAGTTCTGGCTTTAATGTCTGTTGCCGAATGTTGTTTAGACTTAAGTTTACTAAGAAAATCTGGCCTCACATAGACATGTAGTTGGAAAAGAGAGGAATATTTTAATAGTCTTTCAGATAACTGTGGATATTTTTCTCTGATACTCCACCAATTTGACAAGTAGTAGTTGGGTTAGTTGAGATGTGGAATCTGAAATGATATCGATCAACTTTTCATACTCTGCTGCATTAAAATACACTGGTCCATCTTGCACTTTGAACAGATCTTTCACTCACAGATGGGTTTATAACACCATGCATTGGTCATTTGCAAAGCATGGGTTCACTGAGTTATGCAGGTCTCCAAAACACTGACATATTTCATTACATGGTATGAAAAAAACTCATTCGTTAGTAGCACCACAATCTCACTGGAAAAGTCTTTAGGTTTTGGGAAGCTGACAAGTTCACAGAGCCAGACACAAATCTTCCAAAATTCTAATTTTCACAGGAAAGTTCAAATTTTATCATTGGCAACAAATACTGTCAGTTGTTTTTCCTTGAAGTGACAGGCTCACTTCATTCATTTTTGAGAAAATGTCTGCCAAACACCCATGTTTGTATAAATATAGCTTGCCTGCCAGTTGTTCTTTCAAGTAAAAATGGTGTTCCATGAAAAAATGTGGCTACTCACTCAGACAACGACAAGACAACCATGACGCTTTGATGTGCGTCAGAATTGCTTTATATGTCCTTCCCACCCGGTCACAGGTGTGTACTCAAGGGTCTAGATTTAATGAAGCTAATAATTTTTATTGCCTCATCAAGGCATTCTTAAGTAAATCGTCGTCGTTTTTCCGCAGCAGTGATGGCTACAATGATATACTGGTGGTAGATTTTGGTGCCACTGCTTTGACTCCTGTTAAGGCACCAACAGTTTTACCCACCATTGCTTTCACACCGTAGGTACAAATGCCAGCATGGTAAAAAAAAAAAAAAAAGCAAATAATGTCTTAGTATTCTTACAAAAACCGTTTTGACCTTGTAGACCTCCTGAAAAAGCCTGGGGGATCCCAAGGAACCATCAATGGCACTTTGAGAACTGCTTATGACAGCACAGCAAGTGCTCTATAAATTCTAACTATTGTTGTCATTAGCTCCAGAGACTATATTTTTCTAACTAAAACTCTGGATTATAATACCTCACCCGATCTGCACATGAATAGGTGCAGAAATGGAGACTGTCCCCTCATATCATTTTGTTCTTTTTCCATTTTGCCTCATACTATAGTTAGATGTACACCTGGCATCCAGACATGAAGGTGCCAAGGACAGCGCTAAGATCTTACCTGAGCCGGCAGCCAACTGTGTGCAGTGTTCCACACAGAGCAGGTGCTTCACAAACACCTGTTAAACAAATGATGAATGGGCCAAGAACCAGCTCAAATCAGTCCACTCCAGGCTCGTCAGCAACTCTGGTGGAAGGACAGAGGTTGAAGCGGTGGATGGTTAATTTTGCTTTTAAGGGAGGCATTTCGACCATAGTATTCTTGTTTAGAAAATTAAATTTGTATAATGATCAACCAAGGTTACCTTTTATGGGGAAACAACATTGCCTTTTTTCTTATTTAAAAAAATCACACATGTTAATTGTAGAAAATACAGACGAAAAAGGAAAGAAAAGAAACCACTGGGAATCCCACCATCTAGAAATAACCTTTATTGAAATTTTGGTGTCTGTCTCTCTTTTTCTTTTCTATGCAGATACATAATTTTTTTACCTCCTGTTTTGTTACCTCCTTTTTTCATCTAACACTATATAATGAACGTCTTTCTATATCATTACATATCCTTCTGTAATGTAATTTTCAATATGTGCATATCATATATTATTTGGATGTGCTTCAGAAATAATTAGTTAAGCGGGGTTTTGTTTGGATTTGGTTTTTTCCCCCACATTATTCCTGTCCCATCTCATCATCAGCTGGAAAGACCATGTGTCAGAGGTAACACAGAATGAACTGTAAGTAAAACCAAAGGATCCACTGAGCGTGTTTACCTGTCATTGTCACAAGCGCCATGGCAATGAAGCACGCCCACAGTAGAAACAGTCCTGAAAACAAGAAAGAAATAAAAATTTACAACACTCACAAATAAGATATTTTAAGATGTATCTGGGAGAGAAACAAGCCTGGATCATGTAACCAAGATGAAAGAATTCCCCTCTTGGGCAGCTGCACAGGAACAGCGCTCCTGATGGGCTGTGTGGTAAACAGTCCAGATGGCCCATGGAAAAGTCAACTCAGGAGCTGCATGAAATGAATGGGCAGAAACATAAAGGCGAAAATAAGTAGGAGTTGAAGTATAAAGAACTCTATTACTGCATTGCTAAAGGGACATTAAGGTGGAGGTTAAGGGCATGCCATTCTAAATTCTGTTCCAGTTCTTTGAAAGATACGTCTCAATCCTGAACTTTCTCCTTAACTTCAAAGATAGCCAGTACAGTCAGTTGAACATAAAAAAAAACCAAACTAAGAAGGACACTACCAAAGAGAAAGTCAATAGGCAAGAGAGAGAGAGACTGTAAGTAAGAGGGAGAGAAAACGGAAATGGATGTCCCCAAAGAAAACTATACCCTCTGTACATCCATAGCCACATATAGTATGTCTCTCTCTCTAAATATATATATATATATATTCTAATTTACATAATAAATCACGAGTCTGAGAACAGTAAGTACTTTCTGATCATTAGTAAGGTTAAAGAGGTCATTTCTTTACTCAACATGGTTCAGCGGCTTTAAGATTCAGAGAGTTCTATTTTCTCAGCTCTTTCAATAGAGTACTGAGAAAATTCCACCTCCCTCGGACCAGCCTTCTACATCTTTAATTTACATTCCCTCCGCCGTTTTTCCTCCAAGATCATTCATCCAACTAAATCTGTCCACTCCACCCGAGCCGAGCTCTCTACAAATCCATGAGCACATCTTGCTGAACTCTGCTTCTGAGCACTTGCCCGTTTTTATGCCCTTCTTTCTACCATTAGTTCCTTCAACCCAGATCAAAATGAACCTGCTTTCTTCCCCTAAATGTTACCTAAATAATCCCACTCATTTTGATCATTCACCTATCTGTCATTTTTAAGAACACAGCTTATTCATACTATCATTGACATATTGCTCCCAAATTGTTTTACTAGGCCCTTCTTTATTCCTCAACGGGATTGGAAGTTTCTTGAGGGCAAGCACCATGGCTTCGAGTTTTTTTGTTTCAAGAAAATGGAAGATAGAAGAAACAAAGAAGGAGGGAGGAAGAAAGAAAAAGGGGAAATGGAGAAGGGACGAGAACAGAAAGCAGAGAAATGGAAGACGAATCTATGAGATTCTATTTTCTAACACATACAATGAAAACAATGACATAGAGTCACTTTGTGAAAGTCATATTGACATGAATAAGTCTAATTCTAACAAGCACTCAATTTAAGATTGCAGTCCAATGCCTTCCCACGCCTGCTCTGTGCTGTATTTTTTCTAATTGTACCTTTTCTAATTGCCTTTCTAATAAGCAATTTTAAATCTAATGACCACTCTATTTAAAGTTGCAACCCACCCCATCTTCCTTACCCTGCCTCACTTTTTTTTATACACTTACCGCCTTTTAACATATGAAATAATTTGCTTACTTATTACGTATATTTATCATTGTCTCCCCATCCCTCCTTGACTCCAGGGAAGCTCCCCGATGGCAGGGGTCTCGTCTGTGTTATTCCCTGATGTAAGGCTAGCCCCTGAAGCAGCATCTGACACCAGTAGGTGCTCAGTAAACTGCACAAACAGAGCTCTCTCAAGTGTCATATACAGACTCTGGAATTTTCACAAATACCCACAATAGAGTCATGGTGATCAAGGGAAAAATTGCCTCCTCATTAATGCTGCCCACCAACATTATCAATCACCTAAAAGATGGCTGATTTAGACCCCAACTGGATTAAACACCATGATAATTGATGTATGGAGAGTCAAGCAGAGCTGTTGGAGGACATGGCAAGTGTGGACTTCACCACAGGCCGCTGGAGGGTTGCGGGGGGGGGAGGAGGCCGGCTAGGTGTTAACCAAACGAAATGGTGATAAGGGGTGACAGGTCTCCAATCTGGCTCAGAGACCTTGACTCCACCCTCCCCAATAGCAGTGGAAGCCACAGAGCGCCTATAAAAGGGGACTGCTGTCCCAGGAAAGATTTCCAGGCGAGTCTCGGATTCCCCTTCAGCCGCTGACTCGGCGCAGGCTCCGCCTCCAGCCCCTTGTGGTCCCTGCCCACACCCTTGTGCCTCTTTGATTCGTGAGCAAACTGTCCCTGCTCCCTTTGGCTCCACCGCACTCTCTTGCTTGTCCAGGGGAGAGATTTATGCCCCTTTCAGAAGACATGGCTTCAGACAGCTGCCTTCAGAAAAAGTCTGGAAAACACAGTCTTGCCGCAACCTCAGTGACTCCTCTCAGTACCCAGAGCAGAGGAGGCAGCAAATATGGGTTCAAATACTGGGTCTACCACCACCTAGCCGATTGACCTGAGAAAAACGTGACTCTCTGAACCTAAGGTTCCAATTCTTCACAATAGGCAGAGGCCCTTCTCAAGGTCACTGTGCACACAGGCCCCACTTCCCCTTCTCTAGAGCAAGACGAATTTAACCTGAGCTTTAAAATGTTGGCTCTGCGCCCTACACACTAGCTCGGTCTCAAAAAGTTAGCAATATTCACACAACGTGTTGACCAGTCCCAAAGCAAGTATCTCCATTACACTGGAAACCCCGGGCTTTGGAGTCAGACAGGCCTGAATCAGTCATGCAGCCGCTTCCCAAGCTCTCCCCGTGACCTTGGTTGAGTTCCTTTCTCTCATCTATAAAACAAGTACGTAATAAATATTCACACACCTGTTGTAAGGATTAAAACAGATAATGTATGTAAAGAGCTTGGCACAGCTTGATATACTGTGGGTGCTTCAGGGCTCCCAGCTCTTATTGTTAATATTAGCTCTAGATAGGGTCTACTCCATTTTCCACCGGGATGGGAGCACCAGGATGGGGGATACCTGGGCCGTTTTCCTTGAAGGCTACGTCTGGGTCTTTATTTCCCCGGTAACACACTATATAGTAGGGGCTTGATTTCTGTTGTGTGAGTAAATGAATGAAGGTATGAATGAATGAACAACATAAGGATAGAGGAACACTAAAAAGGGAGCCCGGAGTCCTAGGTGCTTGACCTCTAACACTGATTAAATAACTGAGGACCCGTGGATATTAGATTGCTTCTGGGTCCTTTTGCACTTCTAAGTTCGAAAGGTCCCTTTAGGCTCTGACACTGTTTGATTTTGACACAATTTGAAAAGCCCCAAAATAGACATGTGAAAAGAAAAAGAAACTCTTAATCTGTCTCCGAGACCTGTTGCTATGGACTGAATTGAGTGCCCCCAGATCTGTATGTTGAAGCTTTAATGCCCTATGTGACTGTATTGGAGATGGAGCTTTTAGGAGCTAATCAAGGTTACCTTAGGTCAAAGGGTGGTGCCCTAATCTGATAAGGTTAGTGTCCTTTTAAGAAGAGACACCAGAGAGCTTACCGTTTCTGCCATGTGAGCACACAGGGAGAAGGCTGCCGTCTGCAAGCCAAGAAGAGAGCTTTACCAAAAATGGAATCCATCAGCACCTTGATCTGGGACTTCCAGCCTCCAGAACTGAGAGAAAATAAATTTCTGTTGTTTAAACCACCTAGTCTGTGGTATTTTGTTATTGCAGCCTAAGCTAAGACACCTGCTATATGCCATAGCCATGAGAACTATCCAACACTACATTCAGAGTTCTCCAAGAATATCATTTTTAATCTCCACGCTGCCCTCTATCCCAAACCTCTGTAAATTTTATATCCAGCTGCTCCTTAAATGAAATTACTGTATCCCAACAGCAAATTGATAACACTGGGTTGAATTTATAAACACTTTAGTACTATGCTTCAGAATGTTAATTATCAGTTTGAAAAGTTGGTATCCTTTATTCTCTTGTTTGCTTGACATTTATTGAGCAAATTTCACGTTTGTTAATAAATTAGTCAATGCAAAATCCCTAGGATATTAAAGTAAATTTTCTCACTAATTTATCCTCACAAGTTGAGTCTGTCATAGCTGAAAGAAAGGGAAATTCTCCTTCATTTGATGAAGGAAAAACAACAGCTTTTGACAAACTCTAAAAACAGCTAAGGTAGGGCATGGTTTTCCGGGGGAAAAGAAATTCCTGAATAAACAGGTCTCAGCTGGAAGGTATTTGTGCCTTCTACTTGTACACTGCTCAGTATGGTAGCTACCAGCCACATGTGGCCATAGAGCCCTGGAAATGTGGCTAGTTCAAATTGAGCCGTGCGTAAGTAAAATGTCTTGTTAATAATTATTATATTCATTATATGTTAAAATAATATTTTGGATATATAAGGATAAATAGTATATTATTATGATTAATTTTGCCTTTTTTTTTACTTTTTAAATGTGGCTACAAGAAAATTTAAATTTACATATGTGGGTGGCATTATATTTCTAATGGACAGCACTGTTCTAATTAATCCCTTGTCGCATCTGAAAATCCAGTTATTTAAAGCAAAGAATAAGGGAGGGACTGAATATGAGTGACAGATAAGTTTGATTTGGTTCACACAATTAAAACAAGTTTTAATTAATTGGCAATATTTAAACCTTGACAGATTTCAAATCAAAAGGCAGACTTCTGGCTTCTTTTGAAAAGTTGCAAGACTTAGAAACACTGGACCTACGTTCTCACAGGGCAAAAAGTGGCCAACATTGTTTAGCAGCTTCTCTCTTTGAACGAAGCGCCAGCTCCGCATTTCATCCTGCTGCCTAACTGGCTGTTCCACCTTCTCTGCCTGGTCCCTGTAAGCATCAGAATTTTGATGTTTGGCTATGGAGAAATGTCCAAACATGGAATGGAGCGGAGGTGAAAGCATATACAGGTCTCAGTTTGAATTCCAACTCATCCATTTAAATGGCCATTTGACTTTGGATGAGTTACTCGAATTCTCTGAAACTCTATTTCCTCATCAGTAAAATGGGAATAATAATAACTATATTGTGGAAATTAGTAACAATGAAACAAAGTAAAATATACTCAGGTGCTACATCACAGTAGTTACTTAACGAGTTATGTTATTATTTCTCTCCTTTGGCTGACAGTATTAATTTGGGAACTGGGGCTATGGATAGTAGAGGCGTAGCTAGATCCTACATGGTCGTCACAGTGCCTGTGATGCACAGAGGTACGGGCGCTCGCTCCCGGAGGGCAAAGATCTTGGGAAAGAGATCTTCCAGGGTTTTTCTTAGGCACCACACTATGGTTAAAGCACTGTTATTAACTGGAGTGGCATTTTTTAATGTTAATTGGAAATGAAGACTTCAGATGTTTGACATCTATGCAAGCTTTTCAAGTCCCACTGAACCCCAATAATGGCAGATTTTGATCTCAAATGGCGCCGTGTTGCAGCTCTGTTTTACATCCCCTGCGGCACAAGCAAATTGCAGAAGCCAAACTTCTCACACCTATAGATATTACGATTCAGTGCAGCCAAGAGTTAAGGATAAAAACACAAAATGAAAAGGATTCAAAAAATGAGAGAACAAAGATCGATGAAAAAAATTTCCTATATTACAGGAGCTGGGCACAAACCAGAATGGTTTGTTCTGTAGACTTGGCCCTCTGGGCGTAAAATTTGTATCTCGTTCGAGGACCAGTTTATTCAAGAGTAGCCACTGACTGGACTCGAGTGCTTCCCTTCACATCCTCTCCCAGTCCCTCCTGACTGCCTGCAATTACCTGTGACAAATGACCGTCAGTGTGTTGCCTACTGCACCTCTCTGGATGTTTCCGTGGCTCACAGATAAGCGATCTGGCGTCTCCTGTACAGCCTCCCCAGCGCTCAATCGGGGCATGGAGGGGCTCCTCCCAGTGTTCCACTGTCCCCTGCAAGCTGGCCACCCAAAGTAAGAATCCTCCTAGAACACACAAATAAAGTCCCTTTGGACGCCACATTTAGCTATTAACAACAAACTGACAGATAAATTAAAACTAGAAGAAAATGTAAGTGAATAGCTGTCTCAGACTGAGGAGGATTATCCGAAGTAACGGAAGAAATCCCAAAGACACAGGGCAAAAGATTCAATGATGCAAATAAACTTAAAAAAAAAAAAGCTTAAATAATAATCTGGAAAAAATAAATCAATAAACTGGAAAAACTATCTGTTACAAATATGAAAAAGAACAATTATCTTTAATATGTAATAAGCCCATAGATATTGCTTTAAAAAAAAAACCTCTAAAGATCTAATAGAAAAATGGATAGAGGAGATGAACAATTCATAGAACCAAGGTTAAGGAACGGCTAATAAAGTATTGTAAATTTGAATCTCACCAATAACTCAATAATTTGAGTTAAAATAAGAAGAAAAAATTTTTTTCACCCTTCAAATGAATCAAGATTTGTTTAAATGTTAACACTCGCTTTGGGACAGGATATGGTAAAATGAACAAACACACACCGCTACATTAGCACCTTTCTGGAAAGCAAAAGCCTTCACAAATTTCCAACACTTTTCAACTTTTTTGTAAGACCAGAATTAAAAATTAAAGGATAAAAAGAAGAAACAGTCCTAATAACAAAACCAATACATATTTCCTTAAGTAAGTGCTTTGAATATATACATATTTTTAAAGTTGTAAATCTAACTATTCTTTCAAAGAGATGTAACCTTCCCTTTAAAGCAGAGATTCTCAAAGTGTGGTCTCTGGACCATCAGCATCATCTGGAAACATGTTAGAATTGCAAATTCTCGTGCTCACCCACATTTGCTGACCCAGAAACTCTGGGGGTGGGACCAGCGATTTGTGTGTTAACAAGCCCCCAGGTGACTGTGATGCATGCTACAGTCTGGGACCCACCGCTCGGAAGTTACAGGAAATACAATGGATGGAAGAATGTACGAACTCCACGAGAGAGTCATCAGACAAATACCGAGTGTGGGAAATTCTGTGTGACCAGTTTCCATGTTCTTCAACAAATAAATGGCATGAAGAAAACAAAAAAGGAGGGGAAAGTATTAAAAGTTAAAAGAGACGTAAGAGACATAACCAAATCAATGTGTGGACCTTATCTGAATCCTATTTCAATCAAACCAACTGTAAACAGAGGTTTTGAGACAATTAGGAAAAGTCGAACACAATATTAGGAATTACTATTTGCTTTTTTGTGTGTGAACGTTGTAATATGGTTATGATTTTTAAACAGCCCTTAAAAAGTCCCTGTCAGAGATTTTTTTAAACTGTTTTAAAAAGTAAATAAAATATGGCAAAATGTTAACAATTATAAAACCTAGGTGACTAAAAATAGGAGTTTGTTATACTATTCTTTCTACTTTTTTGTTCTTTGAAATTTTTCATAGTAAAAACAAAAACTTCACAACTTTATCCAGCAATTTTCATTTTAAAAATTTAAAGGAAATATTCAGTCTCAGAAAAAAATTATATACATAGATTCATTCCAGCATTATTCACACAACAAACTGTTAGAACCAACCTTGATGTCCAAAAATAGGAAAAAGGTATAATAAATTTCAAGACTCTTATTTAATAGAATATGATGCGGCTGTTAGAAACGTTATGTTTAAAAAAAACAAGGTACAAAAGGCATACAGTATAATCCTTATTTTGTAAAATGTAAATAGATGCCTAGAAAAGTCTAGAAGGAACTGTATCAAAATGTCAAAGGTAGTTGTCTCTGAATATTGAAGTTATGGATCGTATGTATTTTCTTCTTTGTAACTTTCCATGTTTTCTAAATTATCTATAACGCAAATGCACTATTTCATAATATGAAAAG